GGATATAAGTCATGTCTGTCTTGTTTTATGTTCTGTTCTAGTAGCCTACCATAGAACTAGCACATAGTACTTATTCAATAATTATATATTAAGTTATTAAAATTAATAACAGTTTTAAAGTCTAATGTGTATTTATTTGAATTTTTTTTTTTACATTTTTCTGCAAGTTATGTTTTTTTTCACCATTGCATTGTGCTTGGTGTATAGCTCAATAAATATATGTTGAAATAACTACCAATGAGAATAATTTCATGATATTGTAAAATGATATGTTCCATGTACAGCATAGACTTCATGATTACAGAGACTCCCCTGCCTACACCTCTGCTTTCTCAGGGCCTACAGGAGTGCCTGGCACATAGTAGATTGCTAATACTTCTTACTAAATATACAAGTGAAACAATTATCATTAATACCACCATGAGATTAATAACCAAAGAACTATTTTTACTATACACAATTTTAAAAATATAGGCTCAGTGTTACTATAGCAAACACCCTTTGTAATGGTGCTGCAGAATGATGGTGCAGTGCTTTGTAGAGTTTCCAAAAATGGAAAGTTGTCAATTCAGTTAGCTTTATGGTCTGATACTTCTCATTCTCTTGTATCAGTGATAACTTTATGTGGACTAGAAATCAATAGATATTGTTTTATTACATATAATAAATATTGATGTATTTCCTACAGACATATTTATGTTGTCAAACCACTTTTGTTTCTTATTAAAATATTAATCACAAATACTTTTCCTTTTACCTCTCTCAGTCATATTTAGAAAAAGGAACTTTAAACAATCTTAGCTGTGATGAAATACTAAATTTCTTTTATATCTCACTCCCTTCTTTCCTCCTTTTTATTATAACAATGGCAAAATATTTCACCTATACACAGGTGCCATGTGTCATTTGAAGAGTGAGTGAATGTCATTTGATTTTCTGTGAGTGTTCACCTGGCAAGTGAGGCTTCTGTGTACATAGATCCGGAGATCACATCCTCAAAGTAGGAACAGTAATGGTAGAACAAAATTGGCCCTGAGAGCAGCAATCTTAAGATAGCTTTTCCCTTAATAATATTAGAGGAAAATACGTGTGATTTCTCCAACCAAAATGGCAAGCATAAAAGGAAAAGAAAAATTGTTCAAAGTGGCAGGGTCTCTGCTTGTTCAAATTCTCAGAATAGGGCTTAACACGCAATCTCATAAAACACTAAATGTGGCGGGGGGGAAATGTTCTTTTATTGTATTCCCTCAAGAAAGCACAGAGAGACAGATGACCCAAATGCAAGGGTTCCAGGTCAGATGAGTCCTTAATAATCTATCTTCCTTTGCTTTGACAAAGAAAAGTATGTAGTGAACCGTGTGACAACTTTGTTCTCCCTGGAGAAAGCACAACCATGAAGAAAGAGAGCTGCCTAAAAATGGCTACAGCTTTGACAGTGTAAGTTAAAATGCTTCATTTTCTTAAGTAATTAAAAAAAAGAATCTTTCCTTTTATACTTTGCACTATTTTTACTTGGGTATAAAAATCAAAAAGAAAAGTCCAAAATGTGATCCTCTTCTTTTTCCCCCTTCTGTTATAAAATGAGAGAACAAAGCAACTTGTTTTACTCTGTCTTTGAGAAACGGAAAGTTGCAAAAACAAAAGAGAATGCCAAAACACTGCAAACCAACAAAATGTTAAAATCTGACACATAACTCATTATGAAACTCCGATTTCATGCTTCAGCAACAAATAAAGACTGGCTTGAACTTTAGTCTTGTCCCAAAGTTTCAGATCCTATGGTCAATACTGCTTGTGAAGTAAGATTCTGGACTAATTAGTATGATCCTTTTAACCATAATCCTTCCCCTGGCTGGAGGATAAACCAATTTCCTCTTTCAAAGACTCAACACAGACATCCTTTTAGCATTATTAGGGAAAATCCTGGGTAGAGAATTGAATTTTGAAGAATCACTCATCCAACATCAAACTCATTCTTCTGAATATTCTAGAAATGAAGTACCAGAGGAATATGCTCATGGCATAAATCATATTACAGCGGAAAGATTAAATGTTTTTATTTTCAAATCCTGACTCTGACAGTATGTGACCTTCCTCAAATTATTTAACCTCACTGAATTGCAGTTTTCTCAGTATAATTTTTTTAAATCTGTACTTCAGAAGGGTGATATGAAGTTTAACTATCATGATAATAAATATAAAACACTTAACACATTTAGTGTTTTTACTTACCAAATATTATGACATTAATATCTGTGAGACATAGAGATATGCAGTGAACCAGAAGAAAATGGCATACTCAATTCCTTTTTAGCTAACATACTCCAGCAGTGTGGGCTAAAGATTGGCCAGCTCCAGCCTATAGGCCAAACCCATGCCATGCCTGTGATTGTATATAAAGTTTAATATACAATTTGTTTATTACATTTTGACCATTTGTTGGTGTTGCTGCTTTCATACTTCAGTAGCAGCTACAATTGAGATGGTGTAAGGATAATCAGATACTCTCTTCTTGTAAGTTTTTACCTTTTTAAAAATTTTTCACTTACAGTTTGCATTTAATATTATTTTGCATTAGTTTCAATATGTAGCACAGTGGCTAGACAATTTATATACCTTACAAAGTGTTCCCACCAATATCTCAGGTAATGATATGGCACCACACAAAGTCACTACAATGCTGCTGACTCCACGCTCTATGTGCACCCAACATCCCCATGATTATTTTATAACTACCAACTTGTACTTCTCAACCCCTTCATCTTTTTCACCCAGACCTCCTAAGCCCTGTTTTGTGGCAACATCAGTCTGTTCTCTGTAAGCCTATTTCAATTTTGTTTGTTCATTTATTCTGTTCTTTACATTCCACATAAAAGTGAAGTCATATGGTATTTGTCTTTCTCTGTCTGACTTATTTCATTTAGCATAACACTCTCTAGTTTCATCCATACTATCACAGATGGTAATCTTTCATTCTTTTTTATGCCTGAGTAGTACTCCTTTGCATATGTGCTACCACTTTTTATCCTCTCATCAATTGATGGGTGCTTGGATTGCTTTTGCTTTCATATCTTGACTGTTGTAAATAACACTGTAAATATGAGCATAATTAAATATTCTTTTCTTTTCTTTTTTTTTGGCCTGGATTTAAGAAGTATTTTTTCCTAAATATCCCCATCATTTATAAATAATATATTATTGATCTTAATTTTAATTTTCTTCTTGGTTGATATTTTTAGGCACAAATGGTCCCCTTTCTCCTGTGTATTTCTGTTCTTTCATTATATTGTCTCAAATAGTTTTTATTTTTTAATTTTATGATAGTTAGATTAGATTCTAGCTTAGTATTATATTGCTTTCTTATTTGTCTTTCCTTTGCAGACTCCTATTATCCATATGCAAAACCTTTCTTGCCTGTGTTAAAAATGTGCCGCTCTCTCACAAATCTTTTATTTCTTTATTTTTTTATTTTTACAAGTTTACTTCTTGTTACTTTCTCTTTCAAGGCATTATATCATGTTTGTTTTACTATTTTTTTAAAGATTACACTCCATAAATAACATTTTCTTTTTTTATTATTTACTTATATTTTAATGTTTCTGATTTATGTTTTCCATCTTATATGACTTTTCCAATATCTTATATTTGTTTTAAAATAATAGATTAGAGTTAAACTAAACCCCTATCTTACATCACTCACAAAAATCAACTCAGATGAATTAAAAATGTAAATGTAAAATCTGAAAATATGAAAGTCGTAGAGAAAACGAAGTAAAAATACTCCTTGACATAGTTCTTGGCAAGTGACTATTTGAATATGATCCTACAGCACAAGTAAAAATATCACAAGAAATAAGTGAGACTACATCAAACTAAAAAGCTTCTCGAACAAACAACAAAGTAAAAAGACAATCTATGGAACAGGAAACAATAGTTGTAAACCATATACCTAATAAGGAGTTAATATCTAAAGTATATAAGGAACTCATACAACTCAAGCAAAAAAACAAAGAATCAATTAAAAATGAGCAAAACATCTGAATACACATTTTCCAAAGAAGATATATGAAAGGCTAAAAGGTACATGAAAAATATGCTCCACATCACTTGTCATTAGGGATATCCAAATCAAAACCATACTGAAATATTATCTCACACCTTCCCGGATGACCATCGTCAAACAGATGAACAATAACAAATGCTGATGGGAATGTGGAGAAAAGGGAACATTTATGCACTATCGATGAGGTTGTAAACTGGTAAAGCCACTATGGAAAACAAATCTTCTCTTCCCTTCAACTCCACTATCCCCATCCTGTTTAAAACATGCAAAATATATATTTTTATTTTAAACTATTTTACCTCCTTTCTTAAAAGAGCTTCTCATAACATTTGATTATGAAATCTACTTACTAATTCACTTATTTATTCACTCATTAACTTTATTTTTACAGTCAATATATATCTGCTGATCACTTAATGAAATCCCTGATATCCTAGGTCCATTGGGGAGGTTAAATAGTGAACAAAATTATTAAAGTCCTTCTCTGATAAATTTTATATAAGTAGGAAGAGATAATAAACAAATGAACAAATATATGACAGGGGTAATAAATGCTGTTCAAAAAAATAAAGTAAAATAATGGCATAGATAATAATTGTTGCAGGTGAAAAAAGAAAGATAGGATCAGAGCAAAGGCCTTAATCAAGAGTGGAAGGGAGAGAGGATGGAGAAAACAAGAGAGGGAGAGACAGAGAGGGAGGTGGATACTTGAGATCAACATCACTCACTCACTCATCCGGTCACTTTTCAAAGATTTTATTAAAGTGTCTATTTTTGATAGCATCTTTGTTAAGCACTGAATATAATATGAGTGAAAGAGTTACTGTTTTGAAGAGGTTCAGAATAATTAATATATTTTAATAGTTTTAGTCATCAATTGCATAAATGTTTATTGATATTTGTGGAATGATATCCATCTTTTAAAATAAGTAGAAAAATACTCACCTGGCAGGGGAGATACCACTACCACTAAGGTGGTTTCCTCAGGGCAAGGCTCACCCATTGCGCTCCAGGTTTGCTGACTCCTACGATTTCTCCAAATGTGGGAAACTCTGCATAATTTGTGATAGCAGGGGACTGTATTTGCTCTCTCCCATAAAAGAAAAGTAGAAAACACACATGCTTTCTAAAAAAAAAAAGAGGAAGAACAACATTTATAGAAAATCTCTGTATCATAAAAAAGGAAGTGTTTTTTTTTTAATCTTATTTTTTTTTTTACCTCATGGTATTTAGGTCATTTTTAAATTCTTGTGTATTTTTTAAAGAGTTGTTATGTAGTTTGAGTACTTAGACTCATTCTTATCTAGATGTAGGGTTTTTATCTTATTGATCCTTTTTATTTTTTTCTTCCCTACTAAGATGGAAGTTGCCTTAACAACCCTTCTGAGGCTTACAAAAGAGAAGTAGTACAAGCAGCAAGAGGGTGGTTGCTCCCTTCTGGAGAGACAGGAATTTTGTAATGAGAGCACATAACACAGAGTCTCCCCGAAGACAGAAGAATAAAGCTTAGCTTTCCAATGTTGCATGTGAAATGCTTCACTAATTAGTAGTCCTAAATGTTAGGGGGAGAGAGATGAAGGAATAAAAGCCGCTTATATGGTGTTTTGTGTATGATAAAAGTGTTGCATGAAACTTTGCTTCTTAATAGAAAATGCCACTCTAAAAATCTGGTCCTATAAACTGTTACTTAAGCGAGTTCCTAAAGCTGCAGGCTGATTAAAACCCAGCAGGTAAAGCTACAATAAACAAATGCCACCTGCTGCTGAAACAGGTGTTTGTGTCCTCATTTAGTAACAAAATGAAATGAGAAGATGCAGAGGGGTTAGAAGAGACCATTGCATGGATTACCAGGAACCTGGCATTGTATAATTCATTGCTGTTTGTCCTTGAACTTAATGCTGGGTTGTTTGATTTGCCAGGTTAGTTGATGATGCCTTGAGGATTAAACTTCAATACAATTAAGAAGACCTATATCTTCTCCTGCTAGGATTTCCCACACTCAGTGCTTGCATTTTTACCTTTTGTTTTAACCTTTCTTCACCCTGCACTACTTAGAAATCAATTACAGGATACAAATTACTGAGAACAGTTCCTTTCACCTCCTTACAACAAATAAAATGGAACTATGTACAGGATTACTTAAAGAACAGAGTATGTTGGATAGCATACTATGAAATTAAATTAGTACCTTTTAAGTATAATTGTGTTATGTGATATTAGGCTGTTTTCTCCCCCCCCCCCCGCACTTTCCCCATTTTCATTTCTCACAACAATTCTAACACACTCACCGTTTGCTGAAAGGGGAAGAATATGTTACTTTCATTGTTCCAGAAATTTTTGGTCCCTTATTTGTTTCTTAAATAATGTAAATTCATGGAAGTCATTTAAGAATGATTCTGAGAAAGCATAATTGACAGACTCAAGAAATCTTGGGGGCAAATAGTTTTCCAAACATGTTTGCAGTGGTTCTTCTTTGGCATGAGTCTAAGTTATTTTGTAGACATTGTTTTATGATTAAACAAAAGTAAACCTGATAACAGTTTTACTATTTCAAAGAGCTATATGAATATAATAGGCAGTTGAAATAGAAGTGTTGTTGGAAGCCCATAGAAAATAGATACCACATTTGGAAGTAGGTGGCGAGTCACCTGCCAAGAACATGCAGGTAGAGGGTAGGTTTTGTGACTCTTGAAACTTCTGTCTGGGAGCAGGGGATAAAAATAAAGAGCCCTGAGGAGACCACTTGGAAAGCTCATTGATTATACCCTTAAGTTTTGTGATCAGAGTGACATTTCTTGTGACTCAAACCCAGAATACAGGAAGAGCAAAACACAGCTGGGAGCTGCACCAAGAGCTGGGAAAATGGGAAGTTGATGCCTTGGATAGCAAGTATGCCAAAACTTTGTCAGGGAAGACAGTGTGGAACATTTGCCTTGGACCAGGTTTGGACCATGATTAATAAACAGAAGGCATAACGATGTTTGGACCTCATACCTGAGAGCTTCATGGAGGGACGTTTCAGTTAATGCAATGCTTATTGTTACTATAAAGACATAAACCTTACACTTTCAGAGACTGAACAAAAATAGAAATTTATTTCTGCTCATATAAAGTCCAAGAAGGTAGGAAGGGTCTTTCTTCCTATAGTCATTTGGAAATGCAATATCTTTCTCTTACATGGCTACTCTAGGCTTTAAAAATTCTTCCCATTCAGCTGGTCACTGAGGAAAGTGTAAATTGGGTTCTTCCATGAGGTCATGAGGTAAGCAATACAAGAACCCATGCATGAGAGTTTAGGGTATGGCAAAATGGTTTATTCAGGCAGAATGCTGCCATGTTCCCCTGCATCACCTCTTTGTTCATCCCACCATGGAAAATCAGGGCCAGAAGGAAAGTAAATGTCCAGAGATCTTGTGCCATATCAAAGCCTAGTTTAATCTAACATCCAGCTATTTTAGCTTGTGTTCCTGGCTGAGGTATTCAGGCTCCTGCCTGGAGCCTGCATGTGGATTCTGCATGGCCATTGAGATGTGGCTGCTAAGAGCACAGGGCTATGGAGTGAGGATTCATGAGGGCATGGGACAAGTGCAAGTCATGAGAGAGAGAGAGAGCTTCTTTCTTCCCCTGTGTTCATATTAGCTTGAGTTTGGTACGGACTGGTGCTTTTTCAAAAGAATCAATCAGCTTCCCAAGCTTTCATGGGCTTTTGATAGGTCTACCCCCTAGTTAGACAAACAGGCCTCTTTGGCCAAGAACCTCCCCTGTGTTCCCCAACAATCCAGTACTGAATGGGGGAAAGGAGAAGTATTAATCCACTTGATGGAGCAATTCTATAATCCCCTGAGGTGTGAAGCTGTAGTTTTCTGGTGAAGCAAACAGGTTCATGCTCCCCAGTTTATTAGGCTCAATGTCTAATTCCCTTTGCTCTCTTTTGTTTATTAATAACTAGTTAACTACCGATGGTAACATTGCCCCCTGAAGGCCTTAGGCCCACAATCTTACTAAGGTAAATGGATGAAGGTCTTCTGTAACTGCTTTTTGCTATCAAAAAGATACAGTCCTGCCTATCGCCAAGCTCAGAGGGTCTTTTTAACTGCTAAAGGAAAAAAGAAGCAAGAAGGGAAGGGAAGTCTTCATGAAGGAAAGAGGGATTTTTGCGAAGTCCAGGTAAGTCGGCTGTCAATGAGAGGCTACATGCATGATGTCTCGATGATGGAGTTGTGTAGAGGATGGCACTGCTGAACAAGCTGGCATCTTTATTGTATTCTGGAGATGACCAAATTGACATGAAGATTAAAAAGGCATAATCCAAAAATGAGACAAATTATAGCAACCAAAAGTCTGATGAGAGGTAAAAAACTAGTGATAGAGAGAGGGACTAACTCTACGGTGTCCCAGATTAAGGTGGAAGAATGACTTCCTGGAGGAAGTTGTGTCACACCTGTCTAAAACCTCTTGTTTACCATACTTAACTCAAATTGTGCTAAGGGGAACACTATAAGATTTCCCCCCAAAAAAATGGTGGGCTTTTCCTTTCTGAACCATTTAGGCAGAAACGGGAAAGTCATTCAAGTGAAGCCAATAGACTGCCCCATACTTCACCAACTCAACCATCCAGTCATGAAAAAAAGTCAAAACCATGGAGTATTATTTCAGGAGACCACAAAGCCAATGGGCTTCTAAAGTGAGGCTTATACTATGTGAGAAAGGTAAATAAGATCATAGAAATATACCCTATGAAAACAGAAAGAACACAGAGGTTAAACCAATTTCTGAGTCTGCAAGACTGTAAGTTGAGAAGACTTCCAAATGCAAGACTTGTGCTGAAATGAAATTAAACAGTGTCAGTTTGACAGATCCTCCTTGCCTGCAATGTGAGCATCTCTGGTAATGTCATCAGGTGCTTAGGTAAATTCTATATGGTCTACACAGACATGGATTTAAAAAGAAGTTTAGTTCCCAATAATCCCTAGTCCAAAGATAGGAGGAAAAATGAAACATTAGCTTAGATAATTGAAGACAACTAGAAGAATTCAGCAACTAGTTTAGCTTACAGATGAAAACAAAATTTTAAAGACAGTTAACTGCACTAGAGTCCGTTATGTACAATTGGGCATTGTGATTTCCATTGACACATAATTTTACCCCTTAAACTCACCCCTTTTCAAAGAGACATCATTAGGTACCGTTTTAATTTGGCCTTATTATTTGTGTAAACACAACAAAAATAACAACTCATCACACAGGCTATTTAAATCTACTTCGCTAGAATTTCATAAGAAATCTTTAGATATAGCTCTAGTCAGTCACTCAGGATGTAGAAGACAAGCCACACAGTTGCCATAAGGCATTGCCTGCAATACCTATAAGTTTGGGTAAATCTCTTAAGTTCTTGAGGTGTCAAAAACTGTCTTGAGGTTCCTTTTTTGCCATCTGTCAGTAAAGCAACCTTCATTCCTTACCTGGAAAGGCTGCCATGAACCATGTGACCATAAAGGGTATCAGGCTGTTTCTGCAGTGGGCTTTTATTAGCTTTGAAAGTAAATCTCAATTCCTTAAGGCTTTCTGGTGACATCCAGAATCTAGGCATGTGTCTTTCAGACGAGGCATTCTAATCAAAGTCTTGATTAATAAAAACACAATTGGAAGTTGTTCTTACAGAATTCATGCAAGTAAGAATATTGCCATGACTCATTCATTAGGAATTAACAATTTCTGGAGGGATAAGGTAGGAAGAAAAATATAAAGTGAAAGGAAAGTCCTTCTCCTTTTAACTGAGTGAAAAGAACCAAACTCCAACTCTGCGTTAGACAACTAAAAGGTAAGGAATTAGTATTTCTTAGATTGGCAAATACATTTCATAACTTTAAGAAACATAGGCTACTCTATTGGCAAACACACTTATAACTTTTGAGAGACATACTTTCATAAGACAGTTATTACAGAGTTCTATACTCACTGATTTAAAAAGTTCCAGGTGAACTTAGTTAGACTGATTTGCTCAGATAGCTCCTTTCCAGAAACTTGGATTCCAAAAGATGGCTCTGATAAGAGTTCTTGGAGATCATGCATTTGCATTACAAAGGCAGACTTTGATT